CTATGAATTTCCAACTGAACATATTTTGGCACTGCCAGATTGTAGAGCACGTTGAATTAAATATGTAGGGAAATGTTCAGAACCAACGAACAAGTTTTTGCAGAGAGAGAAAAATTTTAGGATTCAAAAATCTGAAATATTTTGGTTCTCCACTGGATTAGAAAGTAAAATTTTTCTATCTCTGCAAAAAGTTGTTCATTGGTTCTGAACATTTTCCCACATAGGTAACTCAACGTGCTCTACAATCTGGCAGTGCCAAGATATGTTCAGCTGGAAGTTCATAGCTGGTCTTCCGACACCCGGATTTCAGAGACTCACCCCAGAAACGCCTAACAGCAGAAACGAATGCCATATTCATGATCAGCATCAAAGATTACCCACAATCATGTATGTTTTACGGAAAAAGCAATTGGGCACTTGGAAAGGTTCACTCGTGAGATGAGCAAATATTGAAACAACTGCTATTTCAAAAATAAATTCTTTTTAATTAAAAAGACGTAGAAAGTAGACGGAAATGATCGAACTATCATTCTACATTGAAATGTCGACGGAATCGACTCAATTATTTGTTGATACTTGTTCTTTTATTGTTTTTTTACTTTAATATTATTGGTCCAGTAAATTGTAATATATCTTGAAAAAATTTCAATAAACCTCCAACCAATAATTTTCCTTTAAATGATAAAAATAATGCATGCCAAAATTTGGGAATATTTTTATTTGTAGTCTTTGGTTTTTTTAATTCAACTTTTGGCTAGAAAATCGAAGAGATTAACAAATGACGTCCTAAAATCTAATACACATTTCTAACCATACCACATCATTTAGCTAAAATAAAATTAAAAAACATAAAAATATCTTAGAATTGATAATAAACTATTCTTTAAGAACAAAACAAATTCTTCATACTAAATCTTTTGTTTCTTCATGAACACCATTTTCATGTGTTTGCTGCTGTTTATTCACACGATTTTTTAGATGATTATATGATCTAGAGAAAAAAGATGGGGACAAATAGTTGAATTTTAAATTATCAACATGGCAGTATTTATATTTTTTCACCTATTCCAATAATATTCTACTCTGTCAACAACATTCGCTGACGTTTCTGTAAAATGTAAATGCCAACAATCATCTTCTGTTAGAGGACGTTTAGAACCTTGAATAATTAATCTTTGATAGACAGAGAAAAGAGAAAAATGTTAGACTAGTTTTTTTGAATTAAAATAGATATACACTTACTTTGTAACCCATCCGAAGGTAAGAACAGAGAGAAAATTAATATAATGTTCAGGATAAATACTCTAAGAATAAATTAAAATAATAGATAAAAAAAGAAAAGAAATGAATTTAACTAAATTGAAATACCTTTTTTCCATGTGTTGTTGAAAACTTATAAGATTCTGCAAAACAGTTTGCTATAAATGACAATAATGCTATTAATAATTGTAACCAAACACGAATTAATTCTATTAAGAAAGATCGATTCTAAAAAGAAAAATTATGTTCAATATCACTCATAAGAACTGTAATGTCATGTAAGATCAAAAATATTTGTCGATTAAAAAATAAATAACAATTTTTCTTACTTTTCTAAAGTCATTTGTGTAAATAATTAGATCTGGTATAATAGCCACTACTGATAATATCCAAAAGAAAAATAATAAACCTGAACAATATTTATTTTTAATACGATCATTGTTCATTAACCATAAAATATTTATCTAAATAAAAATAGAAATTTAAAGATATTCGATTGATTTAAATAACGTTTATTAACTTACCACAGTAATAATTATAAGTATGGGTGAAATTAACATTATAAGACCTTGTTCTTGTGACACCAATTTTGATGATAAAAAATAATAAACAATCCTCCATATTTGAATAAGTAGATAAAGTATGGCTAATATACATTTTGTAAAAAATAATACAGATGGTTTCAATGGTTGTGATTGTATTCCTTGTTTCTGAAATAAAAAAATTATTTATAATTATTTAAATAACATTTTAGAATAATGTCAAAAAAATAGTGATCCTATTTTATTTCTTAGTACATCTACATTTGAGATCTTTTTTTTTAGTTGATAAAATGCGTTTGAAAGTTCGACTATTTTTATTATTATTCCTTTATTATTCGAGTAAAAAAATAAACTTGAAGGTCACTTAGTCTTCAAAGTTTAATTTTTTTAGTATTTAAACACCTTTTTACTATTAATGGCATATTGTTGTCATTTTTATCATCTTCATACTCAATCTTATCGATATCATCATTTTTGAAACTTAAATTTTTCAACTTAAATCTTTTTACGGAATTTTATAGAAAATTTTGGAGAACCCGTTGATTATGGTCCGTATTTTGAACCACACGATCGTATGAAACAGTTATAATAAGAGTATATTTTGAAGTTGTAAATCAATTTGAATCAGTCCTGTGTAATTTTATCAATATTTTAATTTTACGTGACAATAATGTAGAATTTATCGATTTTTACTTTAATAAAAATTTAAAGTTTATAAAAGTAGTATTTTACGGATTATATTTCAATGAATATGTTTGTGTTGTACATTATACTTTGTTAAGAAATAAAAATGTGAGATTCATGCTGGAAAATTTGGTGATCAAAAGTACATTTACTCTAAAAAGTGTCCATAATTTCAGTACACGAATGTTTAACGTTTTGATGAAAATCTTTTTACGTTAGAATAATGTAGAATATCTTATATAGAATTTAACAGTGAATAATATTCATGAACAATTAAGTCAAACGCTCGCAACGACCCGAAGTCAAAATACAACGTGATGCATTTTCTCTGAACCATTCGATATATGTCATTTTGTACAATAACCGCCGGCAGGAGTGATGTGGCTCGTGCCAAATGTTAAAGTAAGATATATATATATACCACTCACACTATCATACAGAGAAACGAACGATAATGTAAGTTAAAACCTCATTATATTGATATCTAAGTTATCAATATCGCTACCTTGTTGTTTTCATCAGAACCACGTTTATAACCGTTAGTTGTTAAACAAAATGAAGTGTAAAGACAACATTTTCAATTTGATTATAATCAAGTCTATGACAATCTGTAATTCTGTAAAATGTCATACGAAAACATTTTGTTTATAAGAAAAATTGTGGAAAGACTAAGAAAATAATACATTATAGAATATGCTCGCTGTAGAATAGGGAGAAAAAGATTTTGTCTTTTTCCTAGCTGTTGACGAGACTAACAAGTTACGAGTTAGTAAAATCGTTACGACACAGTCAGAATAATTATCGTACTCAAATTTATTTTACATTTGTCATTGTATAATTTCAATCGTTGAGCGGAATATAAGAATAAATGATGAAATTGGTCTTTGCAGGTCAACTGTTCATGAATTCGACTGTAGCTTTAAGGAAAGGTTGATTTTGTATTTTGATAGTTCAAGGAACAGGAGAATACAATAGGAAATTCTCGAATTCGTTCTGGTTTAAAGAATAATCTTAAGCTTACTTAATAATAAGTTAATACTTTCTTACTGTTAATTTTGATCGTATATAAAATGAATTTAAAGCAAAATTAAGCTAGCAATAAAAACTCCTATCATTTTGCTGAACGGTATGACTGTTTTAATGTCACCATCGCCAGACTGATGTGAAAAATCAAGAGCAACGAATGAAAACATGATATTTCTAAATATACGTGACGAAAGAAATCCTATGCAAAAAATATTATAGAAAGTAGACTCCTGCAGAACTGAGTTTTTTCGTCCCGATTCTGTCCCGTAGAGTAAAGTTCTATCCCGATCCCGAAAAAATATTCTCTCCAATCCCAATTCCATAAAACTCTTTCCTCCAGTCCTGATCCCGATGATCTAATAGAAAGTGAAATTATAAGATTTGACCACTAGACCGCATCTAATGATGATTCTATTACAAGTATCAAATAATGAACTCACTTTCCATGACATGTATAACCAAAATGGTAGTATAATCCAGTAAATCATTAATGGAGTCCATTGCACAGCGCTATTGCGGAAACATTCAGATAAATCTGGATATGTCAAATTAACAATGCCAGGATTCTATTAAAATAAAAAAATTACAGAGACAACATTATAAAGAAACTACTAGAAATACTCACCCAGAAGTGTGTATAACATAATCGAGTCATTATTTATCTTTACTGTTTGATCATTTCAAGTACCGAAAAGTAAATAAATGAACAATAAAGCCAGTTTAGTACTAAACACATATAGTCAGTCTTAAATAGCAGACGATTATTATCAATCATGATTAATTTTATTAATTGTTACTATTAGAGTAACTACTAAATACGTTAGTTATATTAAAGCTACAGTCTGCATCCAGGCGGACATTAGATGAAAAAATTGAAGTCGACTTTTCATCGATCCAAATAGTGATAAATATACTTCGACACATGCTCTATCTGATGGCATAAAAAATTTTGTTACAAAGCTTAAGTAGCGTGAACAAATCATTGATCAAAAACTAGCCTGAAAACCGATATCGGTGAGAAACATCATTTTTCACAAACCTGAACAGACTTCTGTCTAGATTAGAATGCGTCTTACAAGTGCCTTCAATGTGTTCCGGAAAACAAAAATGCTTTAATGTATCTAGCATGTGTCTACAACCTTAAAAAAATGAAGATAGTTTTAACAACAAGATACTTTAAAGTAGAAAAAGCCTAAAAAATGGAAGTATTTTTCTCGCGTTAACATAGTCTCATATCTCAGTCTGTGAATCTGCGTTTTACAAACTCAAGAGAGACACGAAGATTCTAGCGGTGGAATAATACTGTATTACAGTCTGCTGAAGTAAAACGTACATATTTTCAGAAAACCTAGCTCAATTCTACCTTATATAAGCTGACCTTCGAGGAAGAACGCAAAAATTAAGAACAAGCCGTGCGGCGTTCGCAATATTTTCAAATCACAATCCGGTCTTCTAGAAATCTGGTCACATGACTGTCGTGAAAGTACGTCATATTACAGGTATCATGACCTGTACTGAAGCATAGGGTTCATGATATACGTAAGAATGTTTTCTTTGTCCTTCTACGCTAGGCCAAGTTGTGAGCGCCACCATAAAATTATATTTACTACAAAGTTACGAAAGTGCGAGCTCAAGAATTCAAATAAATCCAAGTCCAAAATAAGAATGACAACAGATAATAAGGACTATTTTATGTAGATCATGTAACGCAAGGGCGACTGCATACGTCTTCCCAAACATAAATAGCGAGTTCAAAACTCCGCTGGATCAATAGATCTCCTTTTTGTTTTGTGCCTTCCAGAACGACACATTCAAATATCTACACTTGATAGACACATAAGGTGTCTTCTACGAAGACGTTTTAAAACATCTTTTTTCGATCCGACTAGTGTGTCTTACTATAAGACATTATTTTTTAGTGTGTATGTTGCGCAGTTGACAAAGAGGTACATTGCCAGTGCTACCATAATTTTTTCCAAGTTAAAACAATGTAAGGGCAGTGTCATTTGTTGATGAAATCAATGAAAGCTTTTACGGTTTTGAATGATGACTGTTGTTGTACACAAAAAGAGTTCATCAATGTGCCACTTACCCATTCGCACATTTTATTTCGAAAACGAGTATTTTTTAAAGCTTATTTGTGTGTCCTCATAATCAAAAGCAGAATGTACTTTCTGAACTAAGAGTATTATCTTACAAATAAAATACAGTGTATTTTGACAGCCCACTATCACGCCTGAAACACTTAACTGAAAACAAAGGTCTCGCTTGACTACCATTTTGAAGAGCGCACTGCGGTTATACATTTAATTAAAAAAACATCTTTAGTTACATTTCTTTAGGAAAACTAGACTAGTTTTTCACAAATCCACTCAAACAACAAGAATTTAGCATTTGTATTTTTATGAAAAGAGATATTACGACCTTCGCTTTCACTTGGCAAAGACCTTAGATCTGTATCTGCTTCCTATGAAAAGCTATTTAATTAAGAGTTTCTTGCCTTTTATTCTGACCTTGACGGTAATTCGTAATGTTGAAAATACACAGCCCAAGCAAAAAATTCTTTTTTCGGAATTAGCTTAACCTAGGTAAATACTTACGTTAAGCTAGCTCTAAAAAAAATTCTTTTTTGTTCAGGAATTTTTCACTCAATTTCTCTATTTACCGTCATATGAGACAAGAAAAAAAAAAGTTGAAAATCTCTACAGCTAATGAATTAGTAAAAAATGTTATGTCATGCTGAATGACGTAGCAGAAAAGAGTACTAGTTGTATATTATGTGCCATTCACATTATATAAGCTTGTAAAGAACTGAAACAAATGCATAGCTTGTATTTATTCAATACAGAAATAAAAACAAGTTTTTCGTGCAATATTTAACCCTAGATGCAAAACTAATGGTCTACATGTCTACCGTTATTCCATTTGAATAAAATACGCTGAAGACTTCATTCTTTTTTCACTCGTTAGATAGAATATAGTCTGTAGCGTGAAAAACTGTATACGAATACAGTGTAACTTGAACTGCAGGACAAAGAAGAAGAAGGAAGAATGCCTGCTGCACAGTGGGCATTCAGGCGGAAATTTTAGCAAAAATCGACAAGCGCTTTTTTGAATTCGAACAGTAGTAAATGTAGTCTTTGAAAAGCGCTATCGAATGGTATATAATGATCGACTAGTAATGGACTCCTTCGATGATTGAGGATAGGTTGAGAAATACAGATGCTAGAAGATTTTTGTTTTAGTACAGTCACAGTGAAAAAAATCACATTTTCTGAAAAACTCATATTCTGGAGTTTGTTTAATCTGGAGAATAAAACAAATATTGCCATGAGATTGCCGTGTACAAAAATCTACGTTCTATGTGTTTTTAAGGTTTCGGGAATTCAGATTTAGCCGATAAGTAGGTACTCGCAGATTGCCTGTAGCGCTATAACCACGGTAGGTGGAGACTTGGGACCTACTTCAAGTTGTAGAGCGACGTCTGCTATATATCTGCATGTGTTTAGACCAGCACTTTGCTATGTAGCTTTTTTGGTACGGCAGGCTCGGACGTTTTGTTTCGAAAGGTGCACCATGGTCGGCCTGTCGATTCTGACTAAGTTTAGCATAGAATTGTGCCATCAGGTATTATCTTTCGAACGGCAAAAACCGCAGCTCTCTATCTTGTTCCTATCAAAAGTTATCCAAAAAACGGTAGTGTGCCTTCTGTTTTGAAACGGATAGTAGTACAAAATATTCCCTTATTCCTAAAGCATTTTAGAACACGTTTCTGAAACCGAAGTACTGTCTGCTGGTTTTTGAAACTGCTATTGAACTTCATCGTGTAGCACACATAAAATAGAGTGTGTATTGATATGTTAAAGCAGTTTGGAACAATTTTGAGTGAGTTTTGAATTCTTTTTATTTTTGATGCAAATGGTGGAACCTGGATTATGCTGTCTAGTATAGGTTTCCACTAAGTTTTTGAACCTTTTCCGGAAATAAAACATTGTTCCGGCGATCAGCGTGCCGGAAAACCTATATACAATGTACTTTTAAGGTTCTCAGAGTACAGATTTAGCTGGTAAAGATGGAGTTTTGGAATTACAGGCTCGGTCGTTTTATTTTGAAAGGTACATCGTGGCAGAGCTGTCTGAAAGGACTCGTTCTAGCATAGAATTATGCACGCGGATGTTCTCTTCCATAATCTGAAAACCAAGTTCTATTTGCAACTTCTATTTGGCCAACAATTCCTCTGAATAACGTTTTTCTCTATGTAAGTTAGTAGCAAGTGATGCGATTTTCAATTCAACTTCTTTATGTTCATCTTGTGCACAATTGCTCGCTGTACAGAAGTAGCTGTTTTTGTGAAACATCTGTGTCAGTTAACTGATACTGCTGCAGTTGCCCGATTTTCTCATGAAAGGTCTCTTAAACACAAGCGTTTTTTAGTAGTCTGACTAGCGTATACGTTATTTATAGGGTGTGGATAGGTTTTATCCACATAGAAATGAAATGGAGAAAGGAATACTCGCTGAATGTTCATCCTGTGTGATAAATTGATAAGCAAAATTTACAAAACATGTTGTTTAACTGTAGTCTTAGTTCACCAACTTTCACGTGGGAATAACAATATTCAGTCGATATATTGTTATTATTTACATCAAGGTAACATCAATAACTGTCACTTCTTGTCGAGCAATCATGGTTTGATTTATCTCTTCTTTCTGTATTTGAATAGATAGGTAAAATGGATGGAGTGTGTGCGTATTGACGGTTGGATCAATGTGGATAACTACCGTTGATTGAATAGCATTGTTCACATGTTTGACTACATGACAGATACGCCCATGTAGTCAAAATCGTCAATTAATCGGCTAGTTTTTAGTTTAACAGTTGAAATCGTGTTTCTTATATACTTACTCTACTGCAGAATTAAACAGTGAATAACAAAAAACCATTTAATAGCTTACAATCAACAATTAATAGCAATTAATTGAACATTGTTAAAAAAACAGAAAAATCACCAAGATCGCTAATTAATCATAATTAATTTGCGATGCATTTAAGAATGGCGCTGTATCGGTGATTTTTAACAATTGGCGATTTTCATGCACGCCAATTAATCACCAGTTGTTAAAAATCGCCGATATATCGCAATTTATGGATGATTATAGTCAAAAAATTGCGTTTAATTGGCGATTTTGCAAGCAAATGAACACGTCCTAAGGCTGAAACCTATCCACAGTCTATAGTAATACATATTTTAGAAAGAGTAATATCATGGAATAAGATGTATCATATTTCCACATCAAACGTCTCGGACACATGTGATGAGTATAGACGAATGTTGTTCTTTTCCGATTCAGAGCAGCCAAGTCTAGTCTATCATTGATCAGTTTGTTTTCTACGTGAACCAATACGCCAGAAAATGCGTGGCGCAAAACTCGAACTAACTTTTATTGTAATGCATAATGAAGTCGTTCATGACTTACTACTTCAAATCAACAGCGCTGAACAATCATCAACTAAAAGACAGGTGCTGTTTGTTGATACGAGACTCTGTTGAGAAGATTATATCTGCTGATATCATCTGGAACGATGAAGTAAAGTAAAGCTAATGATTTCTGAAAAATGTCACTAGATAGTTACTTGTGAAACAACGAATTAGAA